AGAAGCCATAGCAGCGCCCCAGCACCCGCTTGTACTCCTCGTGGGCGCTGAACTGGATGGCGGCGTAGGGCACCACGCGCACCATGGTGGCTGAGTTCCCACGCCACAGGCTGAGGAAGCCCTCATTGAGGTAGGTGAAGTACAGCAGCCGGAAGGCCTCCTGGGGGCGGGAAATGGGAGGATGGGCGCGGGGGCAGAGGTCACAGGCCAGCCTGGGACACCAGCCCCTGCCTTGCCACAGGTCTGACCTGTGCCAGGGGCCCAACACTGCTCCCCTCCTTACCCCCACTACCCCCGCCCCCCTCCCCCCACCCCAGACTTGCTGATGTGAGCAGGGGGCTGGTTTGCCAGGGGGCCTGAGCTGCGGGGGACGGCACTGGTCTATATTTGACATTGTTTGCCGCCTTAAGGATGTAATGCCGAGAACTGTGCCAGAGCCCCCACAAAATGTAGGGGTTCAGAAAACCTAGCCCCTGCCCCGCCCATGAGACACAAGGGCCATTTCTACGTAAGAACCTTAGACTCGAAAACTGGCCAGCACTCCTGCACCCTCATCCCCGGGGAGCCTAGGGCCTGGTGGGGGGATAGGTGGGAGGCACCCCTTTTCCCATGTCTACCAGGACAGCAGTGGGCTGGGCTCGGGGGAGTCGTGACCCAGCACCTCACCTTGGCAGAGAATTTCTTTGAAGACACTGGAAGAGAAATACACAGCACCGGTCAGGACACAGGGACGCTGCCTGACCCCGCCTGCTGGTGTGTCCCCTCTGTCTGCATGGCCCCCAGTGTCTGTGAGAAATGGCCTGAGAATCCAGGGGCTCATCCTCCTCTACCTGGGAGCCTCCCCTGCCCCCAAGCAGGAAAGGTCCCGCCCGACTCCCTATTCCAGGACAGCAAGGCTGAGACTCCCAAGGGCATTGGCATCCGGAACCATGTCAGGCCCATGTCGGGCTTGTACATGCTCCAGGGAGAAGCCTGGGCCCCAGGACATGTGGGTCAGGGGTCCACCAGCTGTCCACGACAAAGTGCCCCTGCTGGACTGAGGGTGGTGGTGGTGGTGTGTGTATGGGTGTAAGTGTCGCACTGTTGTGTCTGCTCTCTGATCCTCACACTGGCTCCACCTTACATGTGGAAGAACCCTGGTTGGGGCCTCCGGGAGAGCACGGCTGCAGAGTGTTTGGGGGTGCAGTGTGGAGGGGCAGGCCTCCTCCTCAGAACCCCGAGGGGCCTGGGGAAGCCGGGCGGGTTCCACGCACCCTGGAAGATGATTTTGGTTCGGTCTAGTGGGGCTACTGCCGTCTTGGCGAGCGCTCCGGCCAGGGCCCCGGATAGCAGGGAGCTGAGCACTTCGTGGCGGCCACTCTGAAAGGAAGTGCAGGACAGTGGTGTCAGGGGCATCACCCTCAGGGACAAACTCAGACAGGAGGGACAGGCAGCACAGCAGGACATCTGGGCAGGCCCCTGTCCGTGTATACCCAGGCTCCTGGCCATGGCAAGCCATGTCCCAGGGCAGCCCCACAGCCCCAGTCCGGAGGCCTGGGGCCAGTATCTGGGTTACGCCGTCACAGGGAAGGGAGAGGTGGCTGGCGATGGCTGACAATGTGGGGTGATGGTGACGGTGGCAGTCAAGGGGACACGATGGCGGTGATGAAGGTGGTCATGGCTGAGTAGAGGCTGACTCATAGTGCCCCTCTAGGACAGGGTAGAACTGCCCCTGTGGGCTTCCAAGACCAGCTCTTTGCAGGAGTAGGAAGCCTCATCTTTCCCCCACGGACTGGCTAGTGGTTTCAAACTGATGACCTTGCAGTGCGCAGCCTGTGTAACCGTTATGCGACCAGGGCTCTTCGGGGACCGGGACCTTGACGGTGACCCAGCAGGGATGCGGTGGTCGATGGTGACAGGGATGTGGCCAGTCACAGTCGGGGTGCTCGCGCAGCAACCCTGGTCCTGGCGTCCTCCATGGGTGCAGACGATCTCTGAGGCCAGGTCCCAGGGTCTCGCTCTCCTCATCCCCCGGCTTGGCCTTGTTTCCTGTCCCTTCCTCTCTCCGGTCCAACTCCCCAGGCTCTCAGTTGAAGTCCCTGGTGAGGGAGGGTGTCTCAGCTCTGGGCATGTGTTTCAAGGTTCCAGGGCCACACTTCCAGGCCTGGGGTCGGCAGCGCTGAGGGGTACAGTCAGATACTGGCTTACTACGTTTGAGGGGAGGCTCGGGGAGGCCTTGAATGAGCATCAGGTCAGCGCCTCGACCCTCTCTTGGGGTGAAGAGCCACCGCCACCGTGTGGGCTGATGCCAGAAGGGGGACCCTCCACGGCCGTGGCTGCCGCACCACCCAGTGTCTCCGTACTCCGTACTCCTTCTTCTCCCTCACCAGCACAGGGCACGTGGTGCCCAGGATTCTTAAAAAGCTGGCCACCGCCCCTTCCATGGTACACACAGACAGGCAAACAGACAGGCAGACAGAGGGTGCTCCAAGGTCCAGCGCAGGCAGCAATGACCGGTGCTAGAGCTCCACTGGGTGGGTGAGGGGGTGAGAGCAGGCAGACAGCCTCGAGGGAAGTGGGGGAGCCACATGTGACCCCAGAGAGGCAACAGCCATGGGAGAGGACGCCAGCCTCGGCACCAGAGAAGGGTGCTCCCCATCGGAGCGGCTGATCCTGGGGGCCACTTGTCCACCTGCTCCCAGAATTCTTCCCCTGGAAACTGCCCTCCGGCCAGAATTCTTCCCCTGGAAACTGCCCACTGGGCCTCGAGGGTGGGGCGGCGTCCTGATGCTCCGAGCTCATGCTTCAAGGCCCGGGTTGGTGGCGGCGGCCGTGGAGCTGGGTCTGTGCTCCTCGTGGAGAACGCAGGTCCGACAGACTGCCGGCGCCATGGTGACCACTGCTGCAGCTGGCCATCAGGTGACTCAGTCTCCCGAGAGCCGCCGTGCCTTCACACACCCTCTTCTTTACCACAGGTGGCAGCCAACATGACCGGGTGAACTCAAGAGCCGCCAGCCGCCAGTTTTGTTTCCCAGCAGCCTCCTGACTGGCTTTCTTCTGAGACCAAGCTATCTGTTCCTTCTGACAGCGGGCCACAGTGCCACCAATGGCCTGCCAACGTCAATGCTCAGCCACGCAGATTCCCCGCCTGCTTCTGCCCGCTGTTGAGGGCATCGAAGAGGCCGTGGCTGTGGCCGGGCCCTATCAGCTGCCGTCACCACATTTGCTTATGTGCCATCTTGTCTGCAGCAGTCTTGTCGGGAAGGTGAGCATCACAGAATGCCAGGTTATTAGAACAAAGTGTTCCTGCGTTCAGGGAGGACTTGAGGCCATCTGGGATCTTCAACGCTCCAAGAATACTTTTTTCCTAGCAGATTTGGCCAACGCAGAAGATGGTAAGATTTCTAGACTGCTACCCCATGGGTGCTGATGGCTGATACTGAGAACCACACGACAACCTGGGCCAGGCCCCCCTGCACTCACTGCCTTCCGCACACGGTTCCTGGAGCAGTGACTGCAGGGTGGACACCTGGTCTGCCTGCTAGCCCAGGGCCACCTGAGATTCGGGGACAGATCAAAGGATGACACCAGAGTGGCCTCTGGCCAAGTGGCCTCTGGGTCCTGCCCCAGCGGGCGTGAGACCAGACTCTGAGCTTGAGCCAGGCTGTGGGTCAGGTGGAACCGGGGTTCTGCATTGAGGGGTGCAGGGCACACACTTGGCCAGCTCTCCCAGGGGAACATTGCTGTAATTCGTGTGGTTGGGGTGGGCTGGGGATGGCAGGACCCAGCCTCCTACTGTCCCCAGGCCATTCTTGCCCTCGGAGGCCATCCCAGCCCCTCCCCCCTGGTCTCCCAGGCCCCTCTCACAGTTGGCTCAGCTTCCCCCACCCCCTGCCAACAAGACATGTTAGACTCCAGTGTTTGCCCAAAACGTTCGTCTCCACCAGTGGGGGAGGAAAAGCGGCTCCCAGGCCCCTCTTCGCCCCAGCTTCCTAGCCAGATCTGGTCAGGGGGCTCACCTCAGACGCCAGGGGCCCCCACCTACCACCTGGCCACCCCCCAGCTGCGGACACACAGAAGGGTCTTGGGCGGTGGGTGGGATAGAATGATGAGGGTCTGTGATTTGGTGGAAGCAGGGAGAGAGAAGCAGTGGTCAGCTTTGGCTGAGGGGGTGCAGGACGCAGGGTGGGGGGCACAGGGCAGGGTGGGGTCACAGGGTGGGGTGCAGGGAGGAGTGCAGGGCAGGGTGGGGGTGCGCGTGCTTGCCTTTTTGGAGGTGGGGGCGTGCAGGGCTGGCTCGGCCTCCTCCCGCAGGGGTGCAGCAGCCTCCTTCACACCATCCCCCATCCCAGGCCTGCGGGGCGGAGTCTTGGTCCTGGGGGCAGAGGGACGATGAGAAGGGACCCCCCCCCCCCCCCCCCCCCCGCCCCACCTGGCCAGGGACAGAGCCCTGTACCTTCTCCACGGCCACACCAACTGCCCTGAGTTGTGGCTCAATGATTGACCGATGGGCACAGAGAGGCGGGGCTGCCCCTGGGTGGCACAGCAGCAGGAGGGGAGGGGCGGCGGGCTGGGAGGGAGGCACCCACACTCCCCCTCTACCGGGCTGGGTGGACAAGGGCCTGTGCCCAGGCCCACACACACTTCCAGGAAACGGACTCTTCACCTCGGGAGGGCTGCTTCCGGGTTCCTCCAGGGAGGTGTGAGCTGCCCTCGCTGTGGGGGACAGACCAAGCTCAGTCAAGTGGGACAAAGGACCTGCCGGCCAGGCCCAGGTGTCCAGATGCTGTCCCAGTGAGAGTGAGGACAGTAAACTGACGAGACTTCCTGGGAATGGACACACTGTCCGCAGCGGCCCCCGCGTAGCCTGAGAACTTCCGCCGGCCTCACCAACGGCCGCGCCACACGGACACTAAACTCAATGCCATTGAGTCGATGGGTGCTGGCTCATAGTGACCCCCAGGGGCAGGGTAGGACTAGCTGCCTCTGTGGGGTTCCCAGATTGTAACTCTTTACTAGAGCTCAGCAGGCCTTCAGCAGCATGCAGCCCTGTAATGACAGATGAGTGTGGGCTGTGCACTGGCTAGGGCCCAAACCTGGCTCTCCCCTTTGGAAGGCGAGGTGTGTGTGTGTGGGGGGTCCTACCTCTGACCATTGGGCCCTCGAACCTGGTAAAGGGCTTAGTAAATGGCACGAATGCCCTCTAGCATGCGACCACCCAGAAAACCCCACGGGCCTAGACCTAGAAAGGGCTTCTCAGGCTGTACATCTTGACGGGAACAGGCAGCCTCGTCTTTCCCTTGAGGAGCAGCTGGTGGGATGGAACCTCTGGACCTTGCTGTGAGCAGCCGGACGCTCACCTGACAGCACCACCCTGGGACGTACTAAACGGCCCCGATGCCTTCCAACAGAGTGACTGCTTATGGGTACGGGGTCTCCTTCTGGGTGAAGAGAATGTTCGGGAACGAGGCAGAAGTGGTGGGTGCGTGACGGAAGGTCCTCCTCGCCAGGGAATTGTGTGCTTCAGGGTGGGAAGCCCCCTTGTGTTTGACCCAGGGCCGGGGGTGGCATCGGCAGGTGCAACATCAGAGGCGACTTGAGAGGAGGGTCTAGCACCCTGATTCTGAAAAGCCACAGCCACGAGAAGCCTCCGTGGCATAGGCCCCACTGGACGCCACTGGGCCACAGCCTGGGCTAGAAGGAGTTTGTTCTAGCTCAACACCTTGCTGAGACCGGGCATTTTCTACCCCAGACACGGAGGGTAGGTGAGGCCAGGTGACTCCGAGGCACACAGAAGAATCGCTCCGGGTTCCTGTTAAACCGGAGAGCTGAGTCAGTGTCCGTGGGGGGTCAGGTTGGTTCTGACTCACAGCCACCCCGGGGCCCCCAGAAGGAAACCCTGCTGCTCCTGCGCCACCCTCAGTGTTCCTACGTCTGAGCTACTGACGCTGCCCCTGCGCCCACCCCTGCGCCCGTTCATCTCGTCCATTGAGTCTTCGGCCTTCCTTCGTCAACGTCCAACTTCCACATGCAGACGAGGAGACTGAAAGTCCCACGGCTGGCGTCAGGTGCATCTTCGTGGTCAAAGGAATGTCCTTGCTTCCAGTATTTGGAAGAGGCCTCGTGCAGCAGATTTACCCAGGTGCAATCCATCATCTGGTCTCCTGACTGCTGCCTCCATGGCCTTGACTGTGGACTCCAGCAAGGCAAATCCTTGACCACCTCAGTCTTTTCTCCGTTTACCGTGATGTTACCGACCGGTCCCGTTAGGAGCATTTTTGTCTTCTTTATGCCCCGTAAAGTCATCCCCACTGCAGGTTGCAACCTTGATCTTCATCAGCATGTGCCTCAAGTCCCCCTCACTTTCAGCAGCAAGCGTGGAGCAGGTTGTTCGAAAGCCTTCCTCTAATTCCGACACCACACTCTTCTTCATAGGATCCGGCTTCTCCGGGAGAGAAATGCTGGATTCTTCATCGAATCCAACTTCTCTGGAGGAGAAATGCAAAGGCTCGGCCAGAGGGCCCCCTGGAATGAACCCTGATCTGTTTTCATAGGATAGAAAAGAAGCCGCAGTTTAACCCCTAGAAAAACGATGGGTCGGTGCTCTGCTAGCAACCCCGTCTCCCTCTTAAAAGCCCAGGGCAGTGTGCATACTGCATGGGAAGCCCGTCTGGGGCGGCCGAGCCAGAATCATACTCTTCGCTGCCCGCTCAATGGCGGCGCTGGCTGTGCCCTTTCAAGGCGCATTGCCCTCCTGATGTGGCTCGCTCTGCCCCTGCGGGGGTTTCCCATTCCGAATCGCTCACCTGCAATTTTTCTCCTTCTGGTACACTCACATTTTGCATATTTGGGCTAATTCCAATTTCACCACGTCAGCATGACTGAGCTGGTTCAAACCAGTTGGAAGCAGTTTCAACAACAAGCTGTTTCTCTGGACTGGTTAACCCCCAAGTCTAAATTTACACCCCGTGGCTCCTTGCTAAGCCTGATGGACCAAGCAGGGCGCTTCTGTGTCGGCTTCGAGCCCACTTTGGAGGTGCCCACCTGGGGCTGCAGTTTCCGGTTACACAGACACCCACAACCTGGCTGACGGCAGAAGGCTCCAGAGTGACCTGCAGCTCCCGTTCCTCACAGACATTGCTGACACCTGTCCCAACCTGCCTTGCGGCATGACTTTCAATAGTCCAGCCACCAAAACAAACCAAGCCTCTCAGTACGACTCCCTCTGCTCGGAGGGTCTCCTTGGTCTTCACCACTCCACCAGCCCCCTCCCCCACCCCCGCCCAGCCTTGACACTTGCGGGGAGGGGGGGGGCAGTATCTAGCTCTGCCCCTGGCCAGTCTTCAATAATTGTTTGCTAGTGGCATGAACGAACTCCCAAAACACCAGGTTTTTTTGGGGAACGTTTCCTACTGCTCCCACCCCATGCCTGGAAAACTCCTATGTATCCATCAAGGCCCATCCTAAATGTGCTGGCCTCTCCTCTCCAACAGTTACCTGCTGCCCGTTGCGCCTGCCCCACTCGCCTCTGTGGGTGCCTGAAAGGCTAGGGTCAGGAGGCATGTTCAGCTCACAGGTGCTGCCGGCTGCCTTTTCAGGAACCCTGCATGACTGTGCGTGAACTTTTGTCGACCGCCTCCTTCTCTGAAGGACAGGCGCACAGGCTCCCTGCCACACCCACGGGTGCTGGGGAAAGCCAGGTCCAGCCTGTGACCTTGACACCTCATTTAACCGCCCAGCTTGGCTTCCATTTCTCATCGCTGCCACCTTCCTGGGCTGGTGGCTGAGGCATAGTTAAGAGGTGGTAGTAAAAGTCCTAGTCCCTAAGGAGCATATGGGGGGTGTGGAAAATAGGTCTCTCCTTTCACAGCCCCAAGACTTGTGTTCACTACCAGCACCCCATTCCCAGGTTTACCTCCCCCAAGCATAAGGTGACCAGATTTTAACATTGGTAAAGCGGGACACCATTGATAAAACTCATATCCAGCGAAATAGCCACATGGCAGTCGAAAACCGTATACCCTAGCTTGTCGTGCATTCTTTCCAAAAATCGGGACTTTTTAAAAAACACTGTGGGACGCGGGAAACATTGTTAAAAATCCGGACTGTCCCACCAAAAGCGGGACGTCTGGTCACCTTACCCAAGCACCCCTCTTAGTGCACAGTCTGCGCTCCCCACAGCAGCCTAGATCAGTGTGCCCAGTAAATACCAGCGTAAGTGGAGCAGGCTCCTCCTGGAAAGCCTGCTCATGAGCCACCAGAGGCCTGTCCTGCTGCAGGCCCGTGTCCTCTGGGCCAGGGCGCCTTCTTACCCCACACCTGCTGCTTCTCAAGGCAGTGTTCTGAGAGCCGCCTCCTTTGTGGCAGTGTTGACCAGCCTGCCTACTGCTGGCTGGGGCAGAGCTGCTGACCTCCGCCCTGCCATGGGTGTCCAGGGATCATGGCCCACTCTGGACCTGTGAGGCTAGGTTGCTTCAAACTGTGGCTTTGCTGGCCCAGAAGTGGGCCTTGCCCACCCGGGGCGCACAAGCTGTGGGTTCTGGGTTTGGGGCTCTGACTGAGCCATGTCCACAACTGGCTTGGGGTCAGACACTGTCCAAGCCACGATGGGCTTTTCCAGCCACGAGAGCTAGCACCCAGCCCTCACGATTGTTGGCCTGTGCCTCAGTCAACGCCAGCTCCTGGAGCGCCAAGCTTGTCCTGTCCTCTCTGCTCACAGGCTCTGCCATCTAGGCCAGCCTTCCTGAGTTCCTGACCTCAGGGAGCCTCCCCACCCCTGGGCTGAATGAATCCCAGCCTGGGCGACCTCCTTGCAGGACCAAGCAGTTACATGATACGGCCACTCGGGGGCAGTGTGAGCACTTCCGGGATACGCCCAGGTCTGGGCTTGGCTCTCATGGGGGCCTGTGGGTGCTCACCACACCTGAGACAATGCTGTGCTGGGGATGCACACTCGATCAGCACTGCATGGAGTCACCCAGGGCGCTGTAATATCTTTGCTGCGTGGTGGACAGTCAAGGTCTGGAGGCAGGCCACCTGGGTCGGTCTGGCCCCTCACACAACAAGTACCTTTGGGCCAAGGCCTGCCCCTCCTCCTGAAGGAAGCACTGCCCGGCTCTGCACCCTCTCCATGCTTGGCTGCCGGTTCACCCACTGTGAGCAGAGGGTTCCACTGGCTAATGTTCACAAGTGGGCCACCAGGCCTTTCTTCCTAGTCTGTCTCAGTCTGGGGCAGTGGGTGTCAACCTTCGTAAGGCCGAGACCCTGTCATACAGGTCCTCACGTGGTGGTGACCCCCAACCATAAAATTATTTTCATTGTGGCTTCATCACTGTCATTTTGCTGGTATTGTTATGAATCAGGCAACCCCCGTGAAAGGGTCGTTTGACCCGCCCCAAAGGGGTCGCGACCCACAGGTTGAGAACCGCTGGTCTGGAAGCTCAGCTGAAACCGGTTCAGCAGCCTAGCAACACATAAGCCTCCAGCGACAAGTGGAGGTGCACTGGGTGGGAATGGATCTGGGTCCTCCCCTCCAGGTGGGGAACCCGGGTCACGGCAGGGCTGATCTCTCAGCTCGGCAAGCCCTGGCCCCGGGGACTGGAGAGCAGGGTGCGAAACACCCTTATTTGCTCTCTCCAGGCCCTGCTCTTCTGTGTGGGCAGGTGACGAACAGGCTTGTCAGGGGCTACCACCACCCATCCGTCAGTCTGTCCCACTGTGGGGCCCTGCCTGTTGCCATGATGCTAGGAGCGACACCATTCGAACGCACATGCCACAAACTGCCCCGTGGACCAACCCAGTGGGCTCGGAAGAAACAGGGCCAGAAGGCTCCTGAGAAGCGAGGACGGGCGTGGCGAGACCAGCTCGTGTTCCTCGGATGAGTCATTAGGGAAGACGCCCCTCCACACGGTGGGGGACTGACTGGCGCAGGCCCCACGAGCGGGAGCTGTCACCACCTCTCCCTAACCCCAGGACTGTGTGGGGTGGGGGACACGCTCTCACCCCCGAGCCTGCTGGCCCCACATCAGCCTGACGGAGGTGCCCTTCTCCTGATTGAAACAACAGTGGCCCCCGGAACTGTCTGACTCAAGGCCAGTCCTGGGTGAGATTGCAGAATGGGGCGCTTAACCGCTGCGCCACTGACCAGTGCAGCAAGGAAAGCTAAGTGGCTTCAGGCAGGAGCCTTGTCTGCACAGGGAGGAGCAGAAACGACATGCTTCTGATAAGGCAGCAAACTTGAATCCTGATCAAAAGGAGAAAGAAATGTGGAAAATAATTCCCCAGGGGCAGACTGTCTGGAGCCACCTCGAAATGACTGTCCTGAGATCACCTTTAATATTTCAATAAACCCAAGTGTCCCGGAGGCCTGAGAAACCAAACAGGGACTTCCCCAAGTTCGATATCCCTTTCCTGGGGCTGGCCTCTCCTGATAACACCGTCCACCCTGCTGAGACGCCATCGCGTCTTCTTTTTTTTAATCGTTTTATTAGGGGCTCATACAACTCTTATCACAGTCCATGCATACCTCAATTGTGTAAAGCACATTTGTACATTCATTGCCCTCATCATTCTCAAAACATTTGCTCTCCACCTAAGCCCCTGGCATCAGCTCCTCAGATTTTTTCCCCTCCCTCCCTCCCTCCCTCCCTCATGAACCCTTGATAATTTATAAATTATTATTTTGTCATATCTTGCCCTGTCCGACATCTCCCTTCACCCACTTTTCTGTTGTCCATCCCCCAGGGAGGAGGTCACATGTAGATCCTTGTAATCTGTTCCCCATTTCCAACCCACCCTCCCTCTACACTCCCAGTATCGCCACTCACACCACTGGTCTTGAAGGGATCATCCACCCTGGATTCCCTGTGTTTCCAGTTCCTATCTGTACCAGTGTACATCCTCTGGTCTAGCCAGACTTGCAAGGTAGAATTGGGATCATGATAGTGGGGGGAGGAAGCATTTAGGAACTAGAGGAAAGTTGTTTTCATCGTTGCTACATCGCACCCTGCCTGGCTCATCTCCTCCCGGAGACCCTTCTGCAAGGGGATCATCGTTGCTTCTAAGGGGCATTCTGGCCGTGCTTCTCCCAGGACAGGTGTGCTCTGGCCCTTCACGGTCCTGTGCACAGTCACTGCCCACACCCACATGCAAGTGAATCCACTCTTGTCCAGTCTTCCTGATCCACCGTCCAACATTCACATGCAGCTGAGTCGACTGAAAAGACAAGGCTTGGGTCAGGCACACCTCAGTCTTTAGAGTGACCCCTTGGTTCTTCAACACTGTCAAGAGACCGTGGGCGGCAGATCTGCCCGATGCACTAGCCACAGCGAATTCAACTTAAGTCGTTGGACAGAATATCTCCTTTGGGCATCGTGCCTTTTCAAGCCCTGTCTCTGTGGGATCAAGTTGGCCACAGGGCCTCGAAAGATTAGAAAGGAAACTTAGAGGTCGCTGATGTACACAAGCACGAAAGGAGGGTGAGAATCGTGGCCCGCCTTCAAGGATGGGCCTTCAATTCACTGTCACTGAACTGTACACGCAGAATTTGCTGAATGCCTGTTTTACAATGAAGACACACAGAGACGCCCTTCCCCCAAAGGCACCTGGACAAGCACAGGCTTGAATCGAGCCCCAAATGGCTCAGCAGAGGCTTTTGGCTGCTCAGTGGGGTGGGCCTGCCTCTCTCACAGTGACCTGCCCCCTAGTCCTGGGGTCATTCTCTCCTCTGGGGTCAGTGGCCCTGCTGGTCAAGCTTTTGGCAGGGGGAAAGCCTAGCTGAGACTCTGGGATGGAAGCCTCTTGCCTCAAAGCCATCACAGGAAAAACAAAAAACAAGGTTCACTGTGAAGACGACCAATGTTGAAGAAACACCTTTTAAAAACAGCCGGAGCCCGGGGGCCAGGGCCGGGCCCAGAGCTGGGTGCCAGTGTGGCTCTTTGCTGCCTCTCCTGTGTCCTCGGTTTACAGGAGTGCACCACATAGATCTGATTGAGAAGCGGGTCAGAATTACAGAGAGCGGCAAGGCATTTTAATACTGCCCTCTCACGAAACGCAAACAGGCTAACAATTCTGAGCTTTTCCAGAATCCTGCCCCAGGAGCTGAGATCCAATCGGTGGATTTTGGTTTGGGTAACTCCCAAGGGAGGGTCCCTGAGTGGTGCCCACAAAGGTGAAAGAGCTTGGCTGCTAACCTGTTTTAGGCCCCCAAATCTCAAATATAATTTCAGGAGGACATTTATTAAGTCTTAAAGAAGACAAAGACAAGACCAGGATCCAGAGACCTCCTCCGGAGGGGGAGACCATCAGCGCGAGGTTATAAGGCATCCAGGGGTTTTCAGAAGTCCGTGAGACTCAATAAGGGCACAGGAGGGCAACAGAAACTGCCACTGAAGCGTGACTGGCGACCGATCAATGCGTCACAGGTACAGCAGCAGGCACGGGCTGTGGTTGGGCCTCATGCATTCTGTTAGACAGAGTGCTTACAGGATGGGTCCAGCCAGTCAGGGCATGACCCAGCATGGTGACCTCCATCAGGGACACATCCAGGCAAGCCCTTAAGTGAGACCACCCTGTCTGGGCTGGTGGTGGGGGGTAGTGTGGGGATGGTTACCCACTTTCCTGTGCACCCTGTCTGAGGGCAAGACGGTACACATCCCTGGTTAATGGTCAGAAGGAATTCAACGGGGACTCTGCGCACGGATTTGGGGCTTTCCCTGGGATCCTCAGCCTCCTGCAGACCTGGTGCTCAGCGCGGAAGCTCTAAAAGCAGCCAGAAGGTTAGAGCCGGGGAAGAAAGGCCTGGGGTCCACTTCCCCATCATTCGACCTTGCAGACCGTTAGAGCACGGTTCTACTCTGACAGACATGCAGCCGCACTGAGTGGACAGACACCGTTCTCTTGCCGTTCCAATTGCTCAACAAGGAAAGAGGAGGAACACACTCACATCCGATGGAGGCCTCGCAGAGACAAGCCT